TTCATGGAAATCCTATAACCTTATTTTCAGCTCAAATTTTCAGGCGAAAATAGACCTTATGTTTGGCTGTCCAATCAAGCTTCCTTGACAAGAAAGAATATTGTTCTTGTATTTCTTAGTATAACGGATACACGGTGTATATTTCCAAATGATTCAAAGATATTTAAAAAATGAGGGTAGTTTGCGATTACAACGAATTGTAGAATTTAAATTGTAGTGTAATAAAGGAGTAACTTGCCTATTTAAGTATCGATTTTTATAGACTGACTCGGATTCTGGGTCACGTAAGTATTTGAAATAACCACTAACAACTCTAGATCAACCATCAAGAATAGTACGTACTGAATCCAATATACCTTATATTTTAATCTATACTAATATTATAAATGCAAAAGTAACTCTGTCTGTCTGTCTGTCCGGCTTTAACTTCGAAACTACTGATTTAAATGAAATTTGGTACACAGATTTTTAAAGCGAAATGACATAGGCTACTTTTTAATGCCAAATAAGGGTTGATAGGGATTAGAAAAGGTGATGAAAGTTTGTATGGAAATTCGTGGTTTTTGAAGCTAAAATAGTAGTAGAAACTTTATTTATATAAATAGGAGTGAGAGTGGGGACTGAGTGTAGGAATGAGAGTGGTAGTTAGAGTAGGAGTGATGTGAGGTGAGAGTGTTTCATCCCTTTTTTCAACTCCTATCAACCTTATAGGTGTTGAAAAAGGGGATGAAAGTTTGTATGGAAAATCGTGGTTTTTGAAGCTAGAACAAGGAAACTTTCTTCTTTGGCTTTTTGTAAATAGAAGTGGGCGTGGGCGTAAGAATGGAAGTGATGGGAGGTGAGGTAAAAGTAGCAACTTTGCCGCAACACTTTCACCATAACTTTCAACATAGATTGGCTGCCTTTAATGCGCCCTTACATAAATTAATAAACAGCCTAAACAATTAAAAATCCATCCCTAATCACTATTCCACGTGGACGAAGTCGCGGGCACAGCTAGTTCTTAATATAACATCAATTGAATTATTACTCGTATCGTCGTATCGTCGGTATTGGTATCTCACAAAATCAATTTGCGTAGATGACAAAACCCGTAGAAATTGGGATATTTTGTAATACTGTGGCAGGAGCTCGGCTTTTGTGTCTGTTGATAAAAGCGTTTAATTTCAGCGTTCTGCGTCCTTTGTTGTATTCAATAAACGTAATCAAATCGAAAAGACGGTTTGAGGTTATAGAATATTCAGTTAATTCTCTTCCGTGATTAATTAAGAGATTATGGCTGGCACGAATGATGTTCGTTATTTCTCTAGTTTTGTAACAATTTTAACCTGACCATTAATCTATTGAGTAAAAGGCAATTTTACTTTTAACACTTCTTTAAGAATATAATTATTAAAATAGCTTGAGTTCAATTAGAGTTGTTTTTTTTTAAATTTCTTGCAGATAATTATGTATAAATCTGTTTATTAAATCTTTTATCGTTTAATTATTAAGTTTTGTCTCATATTATTAACCGTTTAAAGCGCGAATTATATAAACTAATTTTTAATTTTCCTTCTTGACCACTGATGCTGCAAAATTAAGCAATACATGTAGCGATTTAAACCTTTAATGTTTTTTTAAACAAATGAAAACGGGTCACTTACTTTTGTATGCTATCTTATGATTGTTTTCTATTTTCATATTACATACTAGAATGCTACGCATGGATTTTTGATGTATATTTTCAACTATCAAAACCGCTTGATTTTACACGTTTCAGATAAGCTGTACGATAAAATATATAAATCCATGACCCATTTATCGCTTCACAATACCACAGAACTCCAACGTTAATGTACGATTTTAATTTGGCCACAATTACGCAGCCTAAATATTCCAATAACTTGTATTATACTAAACTGTTATTACTGGAGATGTACCGATGATGATTTGAGCCGAAACCGAACTTTCGGCTAACAATAGTTTAAACATAGAAGCTCCCGCGACATAGCTAACATAAAAACGAGAGACGTTGTGACCAATTATGTTTTTATATACTTAGAAATTTGAATTGACGGTAAGTCGTGGTGTTAACGGAATTATGATATTCCTACAGCCTTCAATATGCAACATTTTCAGACTTAGTCTAATATGATTTAGATGCCTTACATGGTGATTTTAAAATCTTTTTGAATCTGATCCACTAGCTATACTTTGCTACCAATGTGATAAAGAAAAAATATCTTCTTTCTTGGTTCTTCTAGATAATGCAAGTAGAAATCATCGCTAAAACGGCTGCCGACTTTTTACGGAATTTAACCGAAGCCGAATGTTAATCGAAGTACAGCACATCTCTAATTACTACCACAGTACAGGTAAAATTACACAACCGCACGTGCTTAATCGTATTTAACTCACCTTCATAACGATTACAGCGACAGCCAGCACGGCCCACACAGTGAGTCTCGTCCCGAATTTTCCCAGTTAATATTTCACTGGAATCAAATTACGAAACTCGTAAGGGAGCGTATTGAGGGACGGATAGGGTGCAGTTATGTGGAATACGCGCGGAACATCTCCACGACCTATATGAACGTTTCGAAGAGTTATACTCGCCGTAATGGCTCGGCTTACGACGCGACCTCAAATTACATATAAAGCTAAATGTTACTTTTATATCGTACCTTTTATTAAGTGATATGAGGTACAGTTGCAAACGAATGTTTAAAGACTATTTTACCCGTTGGTTTTACTCGCTGGCCTATTTTTTACTAATAATAATCATTTAAAAAATACTTTAACGGTTTAAAAGGCGATATATATTAGTAAAACTCATTTGAATATTATGTTAACTATTATATATTTATTTATTATTGCTTTATTATTTATAAAACACACCACAGAAAATACATATAAATGAGGAAAAATCTTACGTGCTAACTTAATAAAAGGCGGCCTTATCGCTAAGTAGCAATCTCTTCCAGGCAACCTGAAGTACGGGCGAAAAGAAATAGAAAATAATTTATTCAGTGGGTAGGTGTAAGGAATAACAAAGAATATATATCGCGTTTTAAACCGTTAACGTGTTTAATTTAAATGTGTACTACTCGCGTGAACTACAAACAGTATTTAATAATAATTAGCGGGTCGTGGGTTGGATGCTACCGGAGCTAACATGTTTCAAATCAAATAATAACTTTTCAGAAACCTGCTGGACAAAGACGTGAAACTTAATCGCATTTCGATTTCAGTCTGTGGATTTCCAAAGCCAAAAAATCTTTTTCTTTTTATGATAGAGGATCTCTCAAAATAACTATAAAAAAAAGGTTTTCTAAACGAGGTTAAAAAAACTATATAGTTATTTGTATGTAAATATTTAGACACACTTTTTAGAGCAGGTAACACTTTGGAGCGGCTGTGGTTAGTTAAATTAAACTGACCCATATAATTAGCGTTTTAAACAGTAAAAAGTGTTTTATTTAAATGTGTAGAACGATCGTATGCTATAGACAGGTACTCTTTCGTCAGCAAATTATCTAAATTAGAGAACGTTCTATCGTTCTCTAATAAACTTTAATAGGACAGATTCAACTAAATGGAACTTTTTGATTAGTTGATTGCTAAAATCTACCATTATTCATAATTAAGTTAATAACTTAATTAGATCTTAGCTTATTACTTTTATTTTATCAAGAGCACACATTTTTAATACCTATAATGTGTTCAACTTTTGTCTAATTGTAGGCAGGAATTATTGACACTATGATTAATATTATTTTTTTATGTAACGGCGAAAATGTGTTACGTGGCTATCTATTTAGTTAAATGGTTAAACGTGTTGCATTAGGCAATGTTAAAAGGTTGCTTAATCTGGAGAGGTCCTGTGTCCGAATTCCGTGGAAACAATAGATTGTTTCGGTCGGGTAGGGCACAGAAGTCGGCTCAACTACGAACTTGTAAACGGGATTAGATTTTAATTTTGTTTAATTTGTCTAATATTAGGAAAGAAGTAAAAGTAGTTTTTAAAACGTTTGACTGGGATTGTACCAACCAGTAGACAAACAACCTGTCCATAGAATATATACTAGGAAGAAGTGAATCTATGGTTTTTTACTAGACACATTACCCCTCAAATACAATCTAAACAAATAAATTATTTACTTACTTTTCTCGGTGTTAATATTAAAGCTTTTGAGTGCGTGAATTTTTAATTTCTCCGACTTGGCAGCATTGAGAGGGGTATCGTAAAGCCACTTAAAAGTATTCGACCCTTCTAAACCTTTCATTATCCAGAAAGCAATCTTTACCCTTTTCTTATCGATCTGAGATTAATAATTAATTTGTTTACTGATCCTAGTTTAGACGGTCGCAATTTTTCACAACTTATAAATAATAAATTATGTCGAAAGCCGTTTGTGTTGCGATCCTTTTATCTTAGGAAAGTTTGTTATTTACGCTGTAAAATTTAATAGGATTTCAGTTGATAAAATCGTAATATTGGATTAACACTAAATAGCGTATCATAATATATATAATTAAATACTTTAACAGATGTTAAAACTAGGTTTTTTTTTACTTATAACATATATTTTTATTCAACATTTGTTTTAAAATTTTGTTTGTAATGCACGGATATATATATATATATCTAATGCATCTTATATCACAACCATACTAATCCTTGTTGTTCGTTTAACAAAAATATTTAAACGCCCCTTGTAAGCGGAAAGGTTGTAGAAAAACAAAGTTACGGAGCGAGAAATAAATGTAACGTTCGGGTTCGGACAGGAAATGTGAAAATAAATCAACGAATATTATTACACATGTATTTGGGTTTCAAACTTTGTACAAAACGTTTCTAATATTATTGGATTACGCGTGATGAATAGAAGGTTTGCTTACCAATTTCCCTTACAAAGTGACTACGCCAGCTGATAAAACATGGAATTTATTTAATAATCTGAAGCTCTGATTCTTATTTACACTAAAATAGCCTTATGCTATGTGCTTTTTGGCACTTAATCCTTGGCAAGCCAAATGTCGGATGTGCAGTCTCCACCAGGGTATCTGAAAAAAACATATTTTTATTTGCGTTATCATATGAAAACTAAAGTAACAATTACTAAAAAAAAACATTGTGATTTGTAAGCTCATTATTATATCGAGTTGCTAGAAAGGTATTCCAGTCTAAACCTGCGAACCTGCGCTGTCTAACTTTTCTTGACTTTGGATACTCGGAAATCCACAGACTGAATCCGAATGGCAATTAAACTGTAGACGGTAGTTTGTGACACGGACGGAATTTCGACATTCCTACCCGTTTAATATCCTGATTTCGAGCGAAGTGCAAAATGTTTAAGAAAAAAAAATAATGTGAGAATCGACCCTCAACCTCTTGATTATTAACCATCCCAAGTTTTGTCTATGGTTTACACGAGTAACGGTTTAAAACACCACGGCTGCTGCAAAGCATCCGAAACGTCGGGCCGAAGTCAAAAATCATTTTCAGATAAGTTTAACTAATATGTCGCGTTTTAAACCGTTAAAGTGTTTTATTTCAACATCCCAAGTTTTGTTACGGTAAACACAAAAAGATAATAATCTACATACGTGTAAATAAATCGACTAGTAGCCTTTTAGAGTAAATTTCTTTCTTAAATGGTTATTTTTTTCGATATTTTTTATTTCATAGAAGATAATGTAATATGTAAGTGAATACAATATGTTAATTAATAAATGAGTTAGTACCTTATTTCATGTGGCAGTACAGGTCCGTTAGGTTCGTTCCCAAAGTGCACTAGGAAGTCTTCGTCCAACTTCATTCCACCATTTTCAGTGTCTATATCTATCTTCACAATCCATCCACCCTTAAAAAAATTCACGGTTATAAAAAAATATTTAAAAATACTAATTAGCATAAGTGTCTGCAGTTTTTTCATAAAAAACAAACTTTTTACAATGTTAAAGACGAAATATTTTCATAAATGTAAATTTACGTAACTACTATTATATATTTGTAATTATTGTATTTCGCGTTAAAACTCGTCAAAATTGTTCTACTTTTAACTTCAATACATCAGTAAGTATCGTCTGTAGTTTACGCTAGTAAAACACATTCAAATAAAAACACTTTAAACAGGTTAAAACGCGAAACGTACTATGTAGTTAAACGTTTTTACAAAACTATTTAACGTCCTGACGTTTCGGATGCTCATTTAAATATACAGGTAGTATTTCTTTGTAGATCTAATCGTAAATGGTACATTAGCTTTAGTAGCACCTACCTAAATATATGTTTACTTTAAAATGACCCAAATTCTCAAACTACCAGCTATATAAATTCTATTTTATTGTGTATTCTAGAGAATTCCAGTATGAAACTGAAATATGCTCGTGTGCTCCACTCAAAATTCTCTTTACTAACATAGCTATAATATTGTAATTCCTACAAAGGAAAGAGCATAAACGTTGAGTTAGTCCGATATTAAATATTAAGCAATTGTATTGCAGACCAGGACTAGTGCTCTGATCTTTTATACTATAATAAAGAAATAGAAATGACATGTCTGTATAAACATCAAAAATCTGTACTGTTTCTTTAGAGAAACCGCTGTTTCTCTAAAGAAACAGTCAAACAGAAACAGTGTCCTACACGTCTAGCCTTAATACTGACGTATATTGTGTCTGTAGATTACACAAAATAAAATAAATACGCATTTTTTAAAATTAACTATCACCCCACGTGTGCAGCAAAGAGATAATTTCTCAGTCTAAAAGAATACAAAATAATGTTTGATTCCTTTTTCGCATAAATACCACCAAATCTTAGTTCGCGTTTACTTTGCGCTTTGCATTTATTAATTATAATGACAATAAAAAAAAACAAATAATGAAAAACCACAAAAAACTAATCTTCTTATATGGGTTAAAACATTGCAATGCAAAGCATCCGAAACGTCGGCCTGTAGTTAAAAAACCCAATAAGTTTTTTATTTAAATGTGTACGACTAGCGTAAACTTGACATGACTAAAAATAGACAGTATTTGGTTTTTGGATTACTGAATAATACAACGATAATATCGCCCTTTCCTTATGCACGTGCCAGATACTTTTCCAATATGTCCACTAAACGTTTCACCCAGACAAAATGGAAGGCAAAACTAGTTACAAATAAAATACTTTGTCTTGGACCTCTACATGAAGCGTCGTAATGTTTAATAAAACGCCGGAATTCTCTATTTCGCCAAACTAATGTTCTTACAAGCCATTCAAAGTATTCCCGGGTCTCAATATCAGGTTCTGTGGAGGATGATTACATAAGGACAAATTGAATACCCACGTCTGTTCGTCGGCTTCCTTTATGTGCAAATCTATACGTATAATTAATTTTATACCTAATTAATACAGACAATAAAACGGTCGAGAAATTGTTTTATCGTTAATTATATTCTTTGAAGTACAGTTTATTTATTTTGAATAAAGAATGAAGATTGTTTTATATCAAATGTCAATGTCAATTGACAGCTGTCATGTTAATGTCACTATTCAACGGAAATCGTTCAGTAAAGAGGTTTTAACTAAATTAATCTTTGTAATCAAACATTTTAAGAGATAATATTTTTTTATTATTTAATGAAAAATATGTAGTAATAAATAATAATAATTGTAGCTAATGCTCAAATGCTTTTTTATTTATTTTTATTTTATTTATAAATACAAAAATTTAAGTATAAATACTCTTAAACTGCTTGAGAGAGCATGGAAAGTTGCCGTTTAAGGACAATAGTCCTTAAAGCCCACCAGCCCGTTTTGGAAAGACTTAGTGGTTCTAATTGCTACTGACAACTATTCATGTTGCGTAGATTACAGACCATGATAAAAAAGGAGAGACATACCTATTCTAACAAAAGAATTACTGTAGGTGCAATTCTATATTAAACTTACCTCTTTGATCATCTGTGGATAGAATTGCTTATCCCACGGTGAATAAAGAGACGATGATGCATACATCCTTTTTCCATCTAGAGATAGTTGCAACATCTGTGGACTGCCGTAGAGACGTTTACCCTTAATGATTACTGGCTTTGGTGCTTCCTGGAAATAAATATCGTTTAGACAAGTTGAAAAAAAAAACAATAAATGTTTTTTTTTTGTTGTCTATTTAATATACAACTTAAACATTTAAGGGAGTATATCAATTTCAATTCAACATTTTAATAAACGAGACTCGTTTTACTGAAATTCTATATTATTTATTAACGAAATTCGAACGAAATTGTACTCAAATAAACATTTTTCATAATATCTCAAGAGATCTACAAAATGAAGCCAGCCAAAAAAACTCTAGAGGGAAACAAAGGATGGAAATAAAATAAATTGGTTAAATCTACAATTTATTTTATTCCGATCCTCGCGGCACAAAAGAGAACATTAATAACCGAGGACTGAAATGCTAAGTTAATCGTTCGAATAAAACAAATAATCCTTAAAAACTGCGAAACAAAATATTGGATTGCGCAAAGCCGTTGAGAGTAATTTAACAAACGAAGGGCAAAACTGAAATGGAAGGAATGATACAGCGAAAAGGTAATTGTGTGAAGTCATGAAGCATTAATACTTATTGCGTTCATAAGGCAGTGGTCTCCTATAAGAGCCGTATGGAAAGCATTACACCCGTTACTCCTCATAAGTACTGTTGTTGTCTCTTTCACACGCTCGTGGGTGTTTAGTAGTGTTAGTGCCGTTTTGTCTAGTCAAAACAACGGTGCCAGTGTCTTTATCCGCATAGAATAGCTATTTTTGGTATCAATTTTTTTTTAATACCTCGTCCTCATCTTTATAAGTTATAGCTGATAACCACGGCAAGAACATTTCCGCAGTGCAGGCAACGAACGCAACATCAAACCCACAAGGACGAATAATTATTCCCGTTTGTTTACATTACCCACACTTTCTTCGCTCCTCTTGATCGCAGTGTAATCAGCCTTTCTCGATAAATGGTGGTAAGAGACCAACACAATAATAATTTATCAATTCGAACCATGAGTTCCTGAGATTAGCGCGTTCAAACAAACAAACAAAGTCTTCAGCCTTATAATGCAACACTGAATTTCGCCCTTGAGATGTACTTACTGTATATTGTGATTTAATAGAAAACATACTTGCGTAACGCGTTACACTATGCGATACCTACAGCCTTTATGGGAGACCAAAGACTAAATGACAAAAGCGTTACCTTCAACTCTTTGTCATCGATTACTTCGAGATTGTTGTTCGCAATCTGCCCGCCCAAGAATATCTGCCCAGTGAGCTTCGGGTTCTTTGTGTCCGATACATCATACTGCCTCACGTCTCCGTGGAGCCAGCAAGATAAGTAGAGGTACTTATCGTCCAAAGACAACAATATGTCACCTATCAGAGCTTGAAAAATGGAAATCCTTTTTATAGAATGCCCGGGAAAGTGCCTTGCTACACATGAATTACGTTAAACACTTACCATTAATTTTAGTTTCGACGCCGTCGCGTAAAACTGTTTTAGCTGGGACATCGATGACTTTATCGGCTTTCCATACGTTGTCATTATTCTTGTAAAATCTAGAAAAATATATTTATAATGCTCTAGTAAAACGGATTGTATTATACTATTTTATTGATCGCTTGTATTTTGTGCCTGGATAAACCGAAACAGTTTTTCCCAAGATCCGAGCCTCGACGACTGTTGATGCCCATATATGACATTTCATATTTTAAAAAATCACTTTAAACGGATTAAAACGTGAAATGTATTCGTTAAACTTACTTACAAATTATTCTACTGCCCGTGATCACGAATGTTGAAAAACATCCGTAACGTGAAGGTTTTGTATGAATAATTTATAAGTAAGTTTAACTAATGCTTTTCGTGTTTTAAACCATTAAAAATATTTTATTTACATATGTGATTGAGTAAACTACAGACAGTACCATTACATGTACTGTGATTTTTAATATTCCTGTAGATAAGGCCGCCCGTTAGACTCCATACTTTATAGATATTATTATTATTTTTAGCTCATTGTAATTGTGTGCGTGTGTGTAAAAAGTATAAAAAAAATAAATAAAATACTCATGAAAAGAATTATTGTCGTTTGATGTACTCATAGCTTAACACAGGCTAAAGAATTAAGAAACAGGAGAGAATAAGTCAGATGGAAGCGGAGCGTTTCTTTTATTTTCTTTAATGCTCACGAACAATTCCTTTATATAACTAAAAAGGAAATCTTTTCCGCGGATAAATAAAATCATATCTGCCTCAGAGCAATTACGCAACAAACGAAAATAATATTTCTTTAGTTTCAATAAGCCATTATTCTTACCGGTATACATTTCCCTGTACAGCGCACCCCACAAATCCTTCAGCGGCTTTGGGATTATGTAGGAACCTGGTCTCTAGGGGTGCACACCCTTCCAGCCCTAAATCTATAACTTGTATTAACTCATGCGTCGACCAGCTGTAGAAATTCAGACTGGTTCCGTATTTCTCTGGATTCGTTATGTCGGCGGGGTGGAAACCTCTACAAAATATTTTTCATACAGAGATAAGAAACATTAAGATACCATTACCGATAAAAGTAATGATTATTTTATGTATTGGAATTGCCAAAAGTGGATGGAATTTTTTACAAGGAATAACCGACTTCCAAAAGTAAACTAGGATGGAAAAAAATAATTTACTTTACACAATTAATTGCGTAATTTTATTTTGAAAAATAGAGAAGGCTTGTTGGCACAAAACTTCTCTATTTTTAGTAAGCCTTTTTGAAGATGTTAAAGTACAATAAATGACTCTTACTTATAGTTCTACTATAAATAAATAATTCATTACAACATACGTCTTAAAATCCTTCGGTGTTCCCCATTCAGTTGCGACCATCACATCGTGGTACGGCTGGTACCAGAAGTCGTAACCGAACTTGGCTTTCTTCTCCCCTTTAACCCAAGTTCCTGCAGAATAAAGGAATCTATAGCCTAAAGAAAGTTCGTTACAGGATCGCAAAATGTATATATCGATAATTTTTATCGATGATTGACGTATTAAATGAAACATTTATAACGATTTAAAACGAAGTAGCTTCTGCAGCCGAGCAATATAACACCAGGTTTATATATGATTCATTCATTTGTGTTTCTTTCTTTAACTTAAAAATATTTTAGTTGTTGTTCTCTCGGTTATATAACTTTAAGAATTAGCATTTTAGATAGTGCTTAAACAACAAAGTAACGATTATTCCTTGAGGAATAATCCTTACTTTATTGTTTACTTTATATATAAAAGCTAGACATTCTTTTTTCAATGACAATAGTCCGCGTAATTTTGAAGCATATTGGGCGATCTGCCATGTACCGAAAAAAATATCACAAGAGTAATTTGGAGCTACCTACAGTCCAATTTTACCTGTTACTTTCAATGTCTTGGAATCAATGAGCACAAAATCGCCTTTGCCATTTTCATCCTTATCGCCCATGCTGGATATCATGACTTCTCCACTCGCCAGGCAGTGTACCGAGTGTGGGAAACTGCAGTTGAATGACCTCATTTCTGAGCCTTCTATCACCTGGTAATGAGATTTTCGGAGCGTGAACACTATGAAAAAGATATCGGTTTGCGATAAGACGCCGACAATCTGCTATTAAATGTTTCGACGTGAACTTTGATTTTGGTGTAAATTTTATGAAACCACGTCTAACATAGAATGATAAATTTGACAATACACATAGAAAACCATAAGCTTTAGCCTATCTATGTGACCAGTAAAAATATTGTAACTTAATTAGAAGTTTAAATTGGCCTGCTTCTACTTTGGGCAAAATACATATACATAAGACTATTTGGCAGTTATTGTTTCATATATATGATTTATAGTAAATTCAAGCTATTTAAATGTTACATGTAATAATATTGAAAAATAATTTTCAATAAAAAATAACCGACTTCCTGTAACAAGAAAGAAAACATAATTTTACTGTGAACAAAGTAATTTGTATTTCGACTTAGTAAAATAGAAACGTATTAATATCAGCATAATATAATTTTGAAGTCCTAAGTATTGTAAATATATTATATCGAATTAAGAACCAACTTTTTTAAAGTCGGTAAAAATAGATTAATTACTCGCGTTTATTATACTATAGTATAGTAATTTACAAGTGTGAAAGCCCGTTTCCCCCTCGTGGGCCATGGGGCGAACACATTTCTGTGTCCCTTTGTACTGATCCACACTTTTAACGGGCAATTAGTTGATCAGACTTCTGTGCAATGCCCGACCGAAACAATTTCATGTTTCCCTGGGATAGTAATTTATAACCTTCTCCTATTTTTTTTAGGCTAGTCAACAAGTGCTTTTTAAAAGCCATAAAACTCTACTTATTTAAAAATCTTAAATAGCATATGACCTTTTCCAATAAATATTTCAAGACGTAGGTAAGTAATGAGTTCCAAGGTGTTTAGAGTTTCTCAAAGCAATGACTGCTAATTGGTATTCCCAATTAAGTAATTCATCAAAGTCCTAGCGACGGTAATTATTCCACAGCGGCACATCCGAGCACATAGTTCACGAGTGAAATTACACGACTACCTCCATCCCCAATCTGTCCGCAAACTTCAAGTTTGGAACACTTTGCTTGATGTCAAAGTCATTAGCTTTAAATATGGCGGGTAGGCGCAGAAACGATGAAACTACCCGACTATATTTTTTACGTCTGTATTCCGACTTTATTGATTCGATTTAAGCGAAGTGTGTAAATTATTGTATTTTAAACAGTGTTTAATTAGTAATATATACTTTTTACTGATACAGGAGGATTACAGACAGCGTGGGATTCACATGATGGTAGGCGCTGGAGACCTCTTTTGGCTTTGGATATTCGGAAATCCACAGAACCGAAACGCGATTAAACTTAAGAAAAAGTTATTGAAAAGTTAGAACCACGTTGGACCCGGTGGGAATCGAACCCACGTCCCGTCGATTATTAGCCATACATTGCTATCAATGAATCAAGTAATATTTGGTTACGAATACTAAGTTGCGTCAATATAAAAATCCGTATACAGTTCAATTAACAACCAGTCCATTTATTCTTGAATTGGTCGTTATTTTATAATTATGTCAGTGATAAATGAAGGGTAATGACTCCAACATATCTAAATAGTCATTGTAATTTTTGTATCAATTATTATTCTATTATGTATTAAATAATCGAAAAATTTGAATTTTCAAAAATTTTGAGAAATATAATACATTCTTCAAATTTTAAAATGGAACCTTTGAAAATGGAAATAGTTTTGTTAAAATAAATAAAGAGGTCATTTATTGCCTAAAATAATTACGTTAAAAATAATACATTTCACTAAAACTCTATTATTTTGCCACATGATGGCATTATATAAATAAATAAAAAACTAGATTGAAAAAAAAATGACACGGACGATGTTTCTACCAGCATCTGCAACACGGTGGCATAATTGGTTAGAGCAACAACACGAGTCGCTGTGAATGCATCAAGTCTCGCCTGTATCATTTTTTTTTAGACGGTATTTTAAATTAATACTGTCTGTTGTTTATGCGGGTAGTGCACATTTAAATAAAACACTTTAACGGTTTAAAACGCGATATATATTATGTAAACATATCTTGAGAACTATTTTAACTACCGCCAGACGCTTTGGATCCTTTGCATGGCCACGGGGAGATCACGTGGTCTCCACGCTCCAAAATAAGTTTAACTAATATATATCCCGTTTTAAACCGTCAAAATATTTTATTTAAAAGTATTTTAATGTTATAACGCTGGCGTAGGTATTTAAATCTCGCGCAACGTTTCGCATTATTGACTAATTACAAACAAATTGTATATTGCATCCTTTTTTAATCTTTTCAGGTGTTATCATTTATCAATAACTCACCAAAGGCAAAAAAATCAGTATCTGATATAGCGGCAGCAGAAATACATTATTTGTGAAGATGATTTATATGTATTAAAGTATTTGTTCTCATCGCATTGTATCAAGTTGATGACAGACAGCTAGATAATAAAGAGTGAACAAATAGAATGGTGTTTTACTCTTTGCGTACGGATCCCTAAAAAAGCTTCAAGTCACTTAGTTGACCCTGATACTATTTGTGTGAGCTGTTTATAAAAATGCAAACACATTGCTCACAGATAAGATAACATATAAGAAATATTTTTAAATGCTGAGTGATAACAATATTTCCATTATGATATTTAATTCTTTCACATAATATTATAACAATTATTTCAATTGAAGAAGCGAAGGAAACCGTGAAATTGATCTAATGGGTAGACCAACACCATTGTAGGTACTATATGGGTAGGTCCAGATAATTTAAGTATCTTTAATTCCTTATTTAAATTTAAAAGAATACTAGTATTTTTTTCTTAACGCATAATATTTAGTAAGTATAAAAGACGTATAGCCTAGTCGTCAAGTTTTTAAATACGCCTCCGCTGCAGACAGTATTATAATTTGTCTCGCCTTAATTAAAACTCACTGAAATCCGAATTACTAAATACTTTCTCCCACATTTAAGTACGTAAGCCTGGCTACATTATGTATAAAAATCTATTTAGATAAAAAAATAAGACACGGGCGGGACTTGAATAGGCAGCGTTCCGTGTTGCTGCTCTAGCCGCTACGACGTCCAATGCTGCTGACTTGGTTAGAGGAGCCGTGGATGCCGCTTCAATAAATGTAACCCCACCTTATACTGTTCTCGTTAAACCACCAACCTTATGTATCTTAGGTTTCCTTGGGTTTGTACCGACATCTACAATGTAAATGTTGCTTGTATGCAGACTGGGGCATACAAGGAGATCTCTCTTAAGTTCTGGTTTGTCGTAGCAACTGGAACAAACATTCCAGCCACTGTGGTGGAGCTCGTCTTCTACGGATCCAGTGAAGGTACGATGGATTACCTAAAAATATAATAAAAACAAGCAATTAAGTAACTTAAAAAGTAAGTACATCAACAGGTCGTGGGTTAGATCTATATGTTTAGATAAAATATTATAGTTTAAGACGCGGAATGTGTTATTTAAATTTATTGTAACTACGGTACTTTGCTGCAGCCGTGGTTACGAGGAGACTAAAAACATAGGCATAGAAATTCATATTATTAGAATACAACGCTACGGTTTGGTCCCCTCACGAGGACAAGTACCGGTTAATGTTGGAAAAGGTACAAAATAAGTTTACACGTTTTCTTTACATGAAAATGTACGGTGTATATCCGTATTATCCATTGATGTACCCATCACTGTTCGTACTGGGTATGGTGGGTTATACGGAGCTTAGAGTGCGAAGGGAGTTGTCACTTGCAGCGTATGTTATAAGGGTATTGCGGGGAAATCAAACCAACATGCAAATGCTGGCAATAATTAGTTTGTTAGTACCTGATCAGTACATACATAAAAGGCATCGCCCAGGTCTTATAAGGGTACCCTTTTCTAGAACGAACTTGTTAGGAAAAGCGTCCTGGACGAGAGCAGTAGAGGCAGTAAACCTACTTCATAGCCAAAAGGACATATTCTATGATGCATGGAGTGAGCTCGTAAAGTGTTTACAGTTTATAATTTCATATGGATAAACTAAGGATATTTAATATTAGTTAATAGCTAGTTATAAGTCATAATCTAATTGTAATCTATATTTCTATGTTAGTTTTTAAGTGCATTGTCGAATTGGGCTTACACCTGTCATGACAATGTAATGTTAATGATTAAATAAATAAATATTTTTCTGAAACTTGTCGGACTACATCTGGAAATCTGAATATTAAATAGGGTAGGAATATCTTAATTTCGCCCGTGTCACGAACCACTGTCCATAAATGAAATAGCCGTGAAGTTTAATCGCGTTTTGATTTCAGTATGTTGAAGTATTATTTCACCTACCATCAAGCGAACCATTCTTCTCTGTCTGCTATTATTTAAAAAAATCTCGCAACAGTATCGAGCTTTATATAAATAAAAACGGGTCGGGAGTGCGCGTATTTTTTTCCGATCGATATATTTGCTGTAAGACAGAGATTGCATGTTCCAACTAAACCCCCTGTCCAAACGTCGATAGAGCGAACCAATATTTGCAGCGAACAATCCGACCGGTCGCACAACGAAAACTCGCCCACGGACTTGAACTTTCACGGCTATCCGATTTTACTGTTGGTAATGCTTTTACTGAAAGATCTATTTTCAATGCAGTCGAGTTTTATGTTAGTATATTTTGAAATTCCTTGTTATTTTGTAGCTACAAATAAAAATAGGCGTGAGGATATACTATAAAGGAAATAGTGTACAAGGTCAGATGAGGGTAGTTTTACAAAATTGAATTTAAGTCTACCCACTAAAACTAAACACCTGCAATTTGTTAAACTCTAGTTAAAATGTGAATCTCTATCGTGATTCAAACTTTAACTAGAGTTTATTTTTTTATGTTTAAATAATGTAATGTTTAAATTAAATAGATTCGGTTGATTTCGGTCGGGGTAGGCACAAAAATTTCTCAAATACTAGTGTTTGATTAATGAAGCAGACAGTGATTTCACACACGTACATATAAGACGTGTACGTGAAACTTAAAATCCCTGAGGATAAGGAGAGGAATGTGCAATTTCAAACTCTGGCGCAAAACAAATAGTTATTATTATGTTTAGCGCTTCTAGGACACTGTCCCGAGCGAATGGACTTGTTGCAATATTACGATACGACTTTTTTATGGGGCGCAATCTTAGCTATCTTTTAAGAAAATCCAATAAGCTGTGTAATATTTAAAATGTTAGTGACATTCCAGGAGAAATATTAAATTTTATTTCTATATTCTAACTAGCTTACCAGAGTTTTTCTGGCAGAAAATATTGCCTAGAAATATTTTATGTGTGATTAACTGATTGTAAGTATTTGAGGATACAGTATAAAAGTAAATAGGGGTATGGAGCACTGTGATCGATGTAAGAGAAGAAGAATAGATAAAGACTATTGCCAGACCTAAGAAATGTAAGAAACCAAAGATTCATTAAAATCGGTTACACTGTTTAGAATTCGAGCACAAACACTGCGTCGGAAGAATTGTATATATCAGATACGTCTATCTATGAGGTCTAAAGTGAGAAGTTTGTTCCTTCACGAAAAAAAATTTTTTGACGAGAATGCACACAGATGGAAAATACATAAATAAAGTGATTCGCACCTAATCACTTGAGTTACCAAAGGTAATAAAGCCTGCAATTATAAAATCGCATACTTTACTTACCAATTTTAGTGAATCGTTAGCGTCTAAAAGAATATCTATGCGCACGAACCAGCCAAGTCTTAAATACGTGAAAAACAATGTAAACACTTTTAGGAATTGATAAAGACAAAATAAACACGAACAATTACGGTAAATTAGCAAACAGAATTAACGAGTAAAATTTTATCCAGAGCTCGTTGAGATGCGTCGCTGAACGAAGACAATAACGTCCCGGTAATCCTGCTGGATTAAAGGATTCAGCTCGGAAAAGTATCACTGCGCTGGACGTAGTACAAATCGGAATTAACAAGTGCAATGCAATAACTACAGCTGTAGTTACACAAGAAATAGACTAATGTACAATGTACGTAATGACTTCGGCTAATGGATAGACAAGGTTTATAAGGGTTAAAAGAATCGCTTTTCGTCTAGTTGTTTTTATGTGGATTTCTTAATAGGCCAAAATAAGCAGACAGCGCATCGTGTTGTTATGTAATTATGGATAAGATATTTCATCTTCCATCAAGTGTACCCTGTGATAATTTGTCTAGGGGAGGCGGTTTGTAGTCTAAATTTCTAACCAATGCTTTAACCGCCTCTGTAGCTAAATGGTTACTACAGTAGGTAAATTGTCAAAAAAACTACTTGCCTGTGAATGAAGTCGATCAGTGAAACGGACACAGAAATGTGTTCGCCCTATGCCCCACGAGAGGAAACGGGATTTCAGACTTTTTAGATATTTCAACATTCGTATTAAAGTTATATTTTGTAGGTGTTCGTACATCTTTATATATACATACTTACCTATTATTCAAATTGGATCGAAAGCAACTGTCTATCTTCCATAAGAGATTATTATTTGAGAAATGTATGTTTCGTTTTTAAAAATGTAACACTAAAATTTTTTTTTATAGATATAACGATTTATAAGGTAATAACACCTCAAAGGATTTTCGTTTTTAGTGTGGGCATGAAGAACAAACAGATCATTACGTCTATTTTTTTTAAACATGAGATTATTTTTTCATAGATTTTATACTCAATCCGGATGATATTCTCATATTAGGCTTCCGCGCGGAATATTATTTAACTGGCTATGTCAGCGACTTCGTCCACGTAGAAATTTTGGCCGAAAAGATGAAAGTTTTTCATCAGTTTCTTCTACATTTCCCGCTGTTTCGTCGCTGCTATTAGTCAGTGCAGTGTTTTATAGCCTAGCTTTCATCAATAAATGCTCTAACCAACACAAAAGAAATGTTCAATTCGAACCTGAGATTAGCGCGTACAAACAAACAAACAAACTCTTTAGCTTTATATATCAATATAGATATAAAATGATTGCCTCCATTTCATATAATGATGGATTTGTTAGTTTAATGATAATACTGTATAATATGTAATGTAATGGTTTGTTAATTTTGTTCTCTCCGGATCTCGCATGTTTCCAAAATCTGTTTACAATTTTCACGACACATGTTGGACTTCGTCTGGAAAGATCTAGATATTTAATGGTATATCTAAATTGAATCCAGTTCAAATACCACCCATAGATGGAACAGCCGTGAAGTGTAAACGGTTATGTTTTCAATCTCCAAAAAATGCGCGAAGTTCGAGATGAAATATTATTTTTGTGATAGTTGGATCATTTATGGAGGAAGGTTATGGGCTGTAAAACATCAGGCTGTGATAACAGATGCGAAGAAAAAATAAGGAAAAGAAGGGAAAATTATATGAATCATTTTCCTGTTCCGTTGCGTGTGCTGCGAAAACGGTTCAAGTTACCCAAACATAAGTATAAAAAAATCGTTAGCACCAAGCACCTAAAACGTCGGGCCGTAGTTAAAACAGTGTTACCTGAGAATAAGTAGACGATAAAGGATCAACGTCGATTGTAGCAACGTAGTCCTGTTTAGTTTTATCGGGCTGCACGCAGATCACGTACAACAGCGTCTCTCTAGGGCCATTGTAAAATGCATCTAATGGCGTCGCATAGCCGGGACCTTTACCTGAAATGAGGAGACACTTTGCACTTGATGTAATCTGATTTTCAGGGAGCGAATACACGAAGTCTTCTTATACTGTCTGTTTTGTTGATATGTATATCAATAGAACAGACATATAAGCTGCAAAGCATCCGAAATGTCGGGTCGCGGTTGGGAATCATTTCCAAATAAGTTTAATTAATATATCGCGTTTAAAACCGTTAAAGTGTTTTATTTAAATAAACAAATGATTTCATACTACTAACAACCAAGAAACTACCAACAGAAATATTACATGTAAACATTTTAACCGTTTAAATCACTGTCAAACGAGAACAGTAAATAGAAAATAGTTGTAGTATGCAGTGATCGTCTGTTAATGAAAAATAATATTAATAGATTTCGCGTTTCAAACCGTTTACAATGTCTTCCAATTAAAATATACTTTAAAGTTAACTGCCTAATGTTTTTATAATACTTATTCCTACATATGATAATCTCCTAAGTAGGCAGGCAGAAATAAAAGTATAAAGAAAATCCTTGAAAAATTGGGGTAACAGAATGAAAGTAGAGCGATAGGAGACTTTGCAGATATATAAATGAAACGCCACTCAATCACGGACGGTTCGCTATGTCTAATACTAGCCCCGGCTTTGCGTAGGTATTCAATAAATATTTCAGAAGTAATATATCTACACACGCTGTTTTAAACATTTGTTTTATTATTCGTCGGGTTAATTCAAGGAGAAAATTCAAATATTAAGTATAAAAATTCCTTAAAACTATGTTTGGAATTCTAATTTTTAAAGTTAATTCGTGTATAAGGGTTTTAATGGAAAACTTTTGGGATTATTGGACTGTCACGATATCTATCGGCTTACGGGTTTTTTTATTTGTACAAGAACTTTCTAAATAAATTATTTGTATATGTCGTTGACACTATTCTTTCTATACGGCGACACTATTGCCTAACAACACCATCAAGGAAAGTCCTTTTCGTGCACACCTTCGTGTAAAGACATAATATTTGGCCTACAGATTCTTATAGCTGTTTCAATTACTGCAATTTAATAAAGCGTCCAGTTTCTTTCTAGTATGCGAGACAAGTATCTCATTAGATGGTTCTTTCCCTCTTCTTTTCCTTTAATCGAGGTTTTCTCATACTTTTTTTTACTTTACTTTGCTAAAAGAAATTGTATTATTCATCTAGTCCTGTCTACCAAGTACGGGTGGCCAATTTAGACCTGACCAATTCTTTATTCAAATTCAGTCTGATATGACATTTAAAAGTGGCTCTTGCGTTTGCTAAAATTATTCAATGTGTGATAAAGGGGGGAACGGCCGCGTCCCTCACAACTCAGTAATCACGTCAGGTAATGCCTGCATATAAATTACTCCTTTGTTCCGCTTAATCTCATCAGTCGGCTATTGTTTGTTTATACGTACATAGACGACGATTTACATGTTCGTTACGTTGTTACGCCTTCTAGTAAATAAGAAATTTGAGACAAAATATCGGTGTAGGTATTCTATATTCAACATTTTCATACTACATATTTGGAACAACTAATAGAAACGCGGTCGTTACTTCGTTACACCTAAACGTAGTCTTAGAAAAAGTAAATTTGAGAAAAATATATCTGTCTGTCCTCGTCTTTCATAAAACATAATCTTCCGCATTCGACATGTTGTTACTCATGAATCAAATAATATTATTAAGCTTTATAATTTGAAATATAACCCTAAAAATAATTAGTATTGTATTACAAACAATCTTTATTCTTTCGTTTTTTAGTCTAACATATAATGTGTAAAAAATGTTAGGTTGCAATTTGTGTGAATTTTAATAATTTACTTTTAAATTAAATAAAACCGTTTTCGATCCACGATTTCTGATAGTAAAATTACAAAACTGAACCGTCCTTTATTCTAAATATTCCTTTTCAATAAACAAAAGTGGAGCCCGTGTCTTTTATGGCGAACCCTATCTGAATTCTAAAGGCTTATAAAAGCTTTCTTTTACATCTTTGATAGGAGTTGTGATAGCTTTAGAAGTGGGTTACTTTTTATTCTGTTACAAGAACCTATTGGAAAAGTGTGTCGACGTAACGCTTTGAAGAGATTTTAGTTTATCTTTATTTTTTTTCTCTTTTTAAAAGAAAAGGGCTACTTTTGAATATAGATTTTTCTTAGAACTTACAACGCAACATAAATTAAATACTGTCTATAGTTTACGCGAGTAGTACACATTTAAATAAAACACTTTAACGGTTTAAAACGCGATATATTAGTTAAACTTATTTTAAGTTTAACTAATATATCGCGTTTTAAACCATTAAAGTGCAACATTAATTTTCAATACATACCTATCTAGAAATATTTGTTTTTATTAAATATTCGACTATGCTCAGAATTAAGTAGGTTTTACTGTTGATCAGTAGTTAAAATACGAGTAGTCTAGCACTGAGGTAAGCGCCAGGTTCCTTACTTCAAGTAGCTTGAAATCATTGCAAATAAAAGACTATTTGACTATTTTTATATATACTTTATATTGTTTGGTAGATGTTAAGGAAATCCAGAAAAGTTATATTTTTAAATTCTGATACATATCAATTTAAAAATCCAACATTTTAATTGCGCGCCTAAATGCAAATTTTGCGAAACAACGCGTCAATATGGCTAGTGACGTCACGATTGGCCATTAGTGTATGTCGATCATATGATCTACAATGTACCTACATGCAATTGTACCAAACATTTACATTTATACAGTGGTTAAAGTAATAAAATGTTTTTTAATGCAGAGAATAGTACCTACTGTTCTAACAATACGAAGCACGATGGTTTATAACACTCTTTATAAGCAAGTGACGTCGTTATGGCTTCAACGACGTGACGATGAGGATCAGGAGCGTTTTGTGACACTTGGCATAATATTAAAAAAGTTTATATTTTCGGTTTTAAATTAAATTTTCATTTAAACATATGTCACTGATTTACTATTTCTAGATTTATTAATACTGATGTTATTGACACTATATTTTTTGCATTATCAAATAGCCCATTTTGGATGGCCGAAAAAAATATCATTATAGTAACATAGTAGTTCAATCAATTATTTAAATAAAATGAATGAGGAAAACAGGTATATAAATATATCTACCCCACATCCTAAATTACAATAATCACAGTTTTTATAAAGGTCTCTCTTATTCCCGAATCAAAAAGCATTTAATAAATTAATTGTTTCACAAAAAAACGCTCATATTTTTTACATAAATTTGAAAGAATTACAAAGCCGGTTTAGTAATACAAAGTAACGTTTGTATTAATTATTAGTGTACAAAGCTAAACTAAAAGACGCGAAGTCATGATTGACACATCTTACCTTAGACTATTATAAAAAATAATACAACGTTAGCGATGTTTAGCTAACAGATGACATTTTAAATAGTAGGTATTGGACATAAAATCACTTACAGCAATCCATGGTATTCCAAATGCTCGAACTAAGAAGTAAACACAAGTTTATATACCGGTTGATTGGGTACTGACATAACATGTGACTCGACGCTCAAAGATTACGCTCTCACAGTTTACTTACTTATAGTGGCGACACTACGTGTGATGTCACAATTGCTAAATAATATAATGAATCACTTAGGAAACATAGTTCTTGTGTGATAAACTAATGTTTATAAAGTGTTAATGTCAAGTTCAACTGGTGTTTTTTTTTTCAATTCTACGAGTATGTTTTGTATTATGAATATTACTTATATAATATCACAGTTTTTCTATTCATTAATTACTTATTTGGATTTGAAAGGTTTTTTAAACTGCTATGTTTGACAAAAAGTTTTACGATTAGTATTTCTTCGAAATCGAACTTGATACTTTTTAAAATTATTACGAACATGAGTAGAAAAATGGTAGTAGTAAATTGTTTTTAAATAATTGTATCATAAAAAAATTTGGAATATTGAACATGTCTCTACACTGTGGTTAAGCTTTGATATTATTAATATTTCCAACTTCTGATAAAAATATATTCGAGCATATTTCATTACATAATATCTGAATGTTTAATGGATTTTTAATTAATTATCTGATTGTAGTGCTGCAATTATGATATTAACTAAAAATAAAAACGCAGTTTCATACTAAAAATAATAAATACTGCATTTTTATTTTTTCATTAAAAGTATTATTGGCCTTTGAAATTTAAAAAAATATATATTTAAATAAATTCTTAAAATTCATATCTCTCTTGATGCCAATTTTAAAGTATATAAAATCAAATATTAAAAGCATAAACAAATTGAAAACGCCTCACTACATTCGTGGGCAAAGACATTAACTGGAGTAATGTTACTAGTGAAAGATGAAGGCTATACTTTTCAGCGGAATTGTAGCTACATATAAAACATAGTATTCTTACGTACGTGCCTCGTCTGCAAATCGTATATTCACTCTCTTTTATAGTTTTAGAAATTCATACACGTCCGTTGAAACTTGGAAGTACAAAGTTTATGTTTAGTCTTGTAAAATATAAAGTATACACACTGAAATTAATATACACTGTAGTGAACACATTCTCATCGTTTACGTGTCATTACACTGCGAAGTCCGTTTTTGTGTTTGTGCGCGTGTTCATCTTGCATAATTCGTCGCAGACTCGAGTGCTGGTGGAATTCGTGCCGAATTGAAATCTGCCTGCTTATATTCTTAAACAAAATTTGCCACAGCGCTTTGTCCTTATTTTTCCACAATAAATCAGCAGTCTTCTCCTTAATCCTACGCATATTTTCCTCCAGTCTCCTGGCTTTTATTTCCATTTGTATGAGGGAACGGGTCGTATTTGTCAAAAGGCGGTACAGGTATTCTTTTCTCGTTTTCCTCGGTTCCGGTACAGTCGCATTTATCTCGGACTCGTATTGAATGGGGCTTGTCTCTTGAACTTTGTTTGTTATCCACGATTCGGATTTGATCCGAAGCAAACCGGCGAGGGCTATTATGCATACAAAACTTAGGAGCATCAATAGTTTTGCGTGGTTGTAAATAGGTTTTGATATAAAATTCATGACAGCGCATTATATACTACGCTCCACGAACATTATTTGTTGGTGCGAATATTTTGAGCAACAATTAGTCACGTGTTTATCGGTCGGGACGCGTGAAGCGCCCTCTCGCGTCGTTAGCGAAAACAGAACTGCGAGGGAAAGGAAAACACGCCTGACGCCGGGCGGTGCGACGCACTCTGTGATTTTCACGATGACTTTTCTACCAGGATGTAGGAAATTCGGAGAACGCATTGTTTTAATGACTGCTACGTTTATTAACCTTGTTTAGAGAACAGACTGCATTTTTATATTTATATTTAATTTCGTTTAACGAGGCTCGGCGGGCATGACGACACAGTGCGTTTTGAATAAAGAAAACATATGCCACTAATTATGAACTAGAATTTAGTGCGTTATTGAGGGTACCTGTAAATTCTAGCTTATTTATGAGGTTTAAAACCTAATACAATAAATAAATAATAAATGTACATTTACGGTATATTGAAAAATGTATATACACTATTAGTATAATATAGGATTTCACTTATATAATAATTGTTTGAATAGACAAAAGGTTGCTTATACTCGGATATTTTAGTTTTATATTTTAGACTCACAAATAAAAGTAATAACTTAAAATAATTGGTTATTGGCGCGTCTTTCGTGAGGTTGGGAACAAGTTTCTGAGTTCCTTGTAGATACGTTGGCTACCTGAACCGGGGTCGCAGCTAAGTTAACAATTTCAAGACGATACCAAAATTAGATAATAAAAATGGGATTGACATTTGATTTAGAGTCTGTCGTTTCATCCTTTTCGAAGTGCGTTTAACTAAACTCTTATTTTAAAATTCGTAAAAAATTTCGACTCGGGTAGGACTTGAACCGGCATCGTCAGCGTTCCGTGCTTTTGCTCCACCAATGGAGCTACCGAGTCTTACCCCTCATTGTCGATTTTTTTTATATAATGCCATCATGCGCAATAACATGTGAAAAATATTAAAATTTTTAGCTCTTATTTCTCATGCGGTTTAAAAAATATTATTCTTCGACTTAGGAGCGAAAACACTCAGTTAATAAAAACGTGTATTTTACGCGAAAGCTACACGCTTAAATAAAACACTTTTGAACGGTTTATTACTTAAAATGTATTTGGTTGAAAACTTTATTCTTCACATGTTATTGTACATGTGAAGAATAAAGTGGCACTACCACCTACCGCACATAAATAAAGAATCGATTACAATTTTAAAAGTTTACGACTCGAGCAGGAATTGAACCAGCATCCACAGCGTTCCGTGCTATTGCTCTATCTATAAGTTAACTAATATTAAAAACGTAAAAAAATTGTAATACAAATAATATATAAACAACATTACATTACAATTCTTGTTCCTTACTCAAAAGGCATTTCTTGCTATAAGTTATAACGGTGGTAGATAAAAATAAACTTCTACCGAGTTCCTATAAATAGAGACAATGTAAAAATTGATCCTCACAAATTCAGTTCAGTGTTTTCTCAGCACAGCTGGCACCGGAAGATAAGCGACCCTTTCTTTTAGCTTTGTTTTAAATTGATTTTTCAAACGAAAACTGCCCTTAAACATTTTAACGGCGGTTCTGACGTCACGAGTTGGGAAAATTATAAAACTTGCATCCATCGATTTCGTATTTAGGTACAAAGGGGAGCATTTCCCTTTGCAAATTTGGTTTCTCTTTGTTGCATTTATTACTGGCTTCATTGGGATTTTGGCATTTAATTAAGCGATAAAATTGAGTAGAATAAGACGCTTTGTAATCGATGTTCTATTGTTTTTATTATTATTTATTTAACACTTATATGTAGCCTTAAGGTGTATTTTAATCAGTTTTTAAATACCTTTAAGTTTTGTATATGTGTATAAAAATGCATAAATAACACAGATGTAAACCAAAATAATGTATAAAATTTGGTGTAATTAATTCCTTTGCGGAATTATATACAGCTGAAATATTAAAGCAATATGTTATTTGATAAATCAAATTGTTTTATACACACATTAGAATGATAAAATAAAGTTGGTTCTCAATTCGTCTCGCAAGTGCAAGATGCGTAAAAGATATAATAATATATTAATTAATTGATTGCATAAAATCGGGCACTTCCGTAAGCACCTACTGTGTTGTTCGTGGGTTCGAGTCTCGCCTATGTTATTTTTATGTATACAATTTCCTTTCTATCTGACTTTTTCATTTCAAGTTTAAGAATTCACGACCTCAGCGGCGGACTAATAATGTACAGCTTGACACAAGGCTAGCGTACAAAGGCTTACGAGAATGCAGTAAGGACTCTTTCTTGTGAGTTGCAGCCTTTGAGACTGAGCTAAAGGACTATATTTATTCCAACCTGCCGTACTAAATGAGTGTCGTCGGTAATACATGTGTGTAGTCCCGTTAAGTATGGAGCGAACACAATTCTGTGTTCGTTTCACTGATCGGTTCTCTTACAGGCAAGTATTTAATTAGACTTTGGAACCCTACCCGACTGAAACAATGTATTATTTCTCCGGGTTTGTAACCTAGGATCTCTCGCGCTTAACGCTAGACAATACGTTAAACCATTTAGCTACAGACGTAATTAAATCACTCTATTAAAATTATTCTATAAGTTTATAAAGCAAACTTAAATATTTCAATCAACATACATTTTATTATCTAATAAGTAGTTGTCCTTACTATCTATTGTATTAGATATATAGAATTTTTTAACATGTTTAAACGGCGACTATATAGTTTACATTTTTAAATAAGTTTAACTAATATATCGCGTTTTAAACCGTTAAAGTGTTTTATTTAAACCTGATTTATATCAGATCCTCGTTAAAATTACCTTATAGATATTACTTTTGAAACAGTTAAAAGTTTTTTACTAATTTAAAAATAGTACTAGTAATATATATATATATATAAAATCCCATGCAAAATTACCATTACATTTAACAACAAAGTGATGAATACGAACGAACTCTTTCCAACCATTTTATAAAATTTCCATAAATTCCTAATCAAGTTTTTTTCTATTTAAAATCAATTTTTTATTCAACCAGTTCAGCTATACGTTCGACCGTATTCATGCATTTTATTATGATCGACATCTATAGCTTCGACTGGCTGGATTACGTGACTTCAAACGAAAGCCAATATTTTTCAATATTCACCCTTTGCAAACTCAATATACATTTTATAATACCTTAGTCCGTATTATTAGGTGTGAAAGTATTCGTTTTATCTGATATGTATCCCAGAGGAGTCTGCGAACGTTGGAGATTTAATATATGGATATTGAAAAGATTTTCAACTAGTTTTAGGTCTTATATTTCACATACATTTTAATGCAGACAATGGTTTGTTTATAAAATGTTATAAAATAGTTATCTGCCTCCAAATCATTTCCAAGTCACTCAAGATAATCGTCACTAATTGTTAAAACTTGAGTTGCTATTCCTTTTTTAAATTTCTGGAAACATTAAAATGTATATAGATTTGGGTTCTTATTCCTAACCTGGGATATGCCATGTGCATATTGAAGTTACGATATTCAACAATACTATAATCAAGTTGATTGAAGATGATAAGAGATGATATTATTTAAAATGCAATGTAAAAATTTAGGTTAGGCTTCGTAGTTAAAAATAACTAATTTATATTAGTTTTATTAGCCTGTCCAAAATACAGCACCCCAATAAGCGAGAGAATAACTTGAGTCAGTTTTGTATGGACCCAGTTCCTTCCTCCAAATAACAATCACGTAGAAACAGATGGCGTTAGCTAGACTTTGAGATAAGTGACACCTCTATTTTTACTTCTCCCGTAACTACGGCTGCTGCAAAGCGTCAGGCCGTAGTTAAAATATTTTAACGAATATATGTCGCGTTTCAAAACGTTTAAACGGTATTAAACACGTACCACTCGAATAAACCACAGACAGTACTTAGAACATAACGTATTAGTACAAATAGTGTACCCTACACTCTGCAGATCCTTTATCAATTAAGGGAGCACTTAGGGACCCTATATTCTCATTTGGTCGCGTGATTATCCTTTCAGAAGGGTATAGTAATTTATAGTTTTTCACTTACCTCTATTAAGCTTACCAAATAGAGGTCTATATACACGATATAAATTATCCCGATAGGAACATTTAGGCGCTTTCGACCCTTCGATGTGTTTCCTTTTAATAAATCACAAGTCTTATAATTGTATATTATATGCTTTGTGGTCTTTAATACGCTCTATTTTTTTAGAAGCGGACAGGCAAGCACGGGGATACTTAACGTTAGGTGAAAACTTTAACCTTATCTATAGTAATATATAAAGCTGAACAGTTTGTTTGTTTGAACGCGCTAATGTCAGGAACTATTGGTTCGAATTAAAGAAAAGTATTGTTTGGTTAGAGCACTTATAAAACATCGCCCTGTGACTAATACAATAGAGCAATGTGAAAAAAATTTGGGTTTCCGAGACGAAAGAAAAACGGTTTAATACACCCAAAAAATATAGAATGATTTTTTCTTTAAATGATCTAAAAAAAGTCCGAGACGCTATATGTCTATCTTTTGAGATTACCTTGCAAGAACGACGGGAAGGGACGCGATCGACGTCGTGGGTAACAGTTTAAGTTTATAAAGATGAAGGCGTTTGCAAAAACGAATTTGGTTACCCAAAATAACGATTAAAACCTTAAACTATCTTTTTAACGATAGAGGAGAACAAACAATTATGGTAGGTGATATACCCCGGCCTATACCATCTAAACAAGATGTGCTGTCGTCCTATTTTGGCATTGGGTGTGTAAAAACTTTCGAGTTTCGAGCACAATACATAATTTTGCTAATCAATAGCAATGTTGCTATTCTTCTAATATATATTTTTTTAATAGATGAGAACCGAATAGCGTGGGATTCACTTGATGGAAGGCGGAATACCCCAACCACATAACATCTAAATCAGATGTGTTGTCGACCGATTTAGGCTTTGGATATTTC